AGCTGCAATGTCTAACCAACGCAGTCTTATGACTGAAGACGAACGGCAGCACGGCCTCAAACGTGATGCATCAGCACATACTTACCAACGAGCGGCTTTGACAGTACAAGAGCATCAAGAAATTCAGAGACGTAACAATGCTAGCCATAGATTTCGACGCCAGACAGTGTCGGACGAGGAACGCCAGCAGCGGAACGAAGCAGAGCGCTTGTTCGGTCGTGCCAATACAAGAAGAGACTCACGTACCACGAAGATTTCGATCCATCAAGCGTGCGCGGGGGTCGACACTATTTTACCCGTTACACAGACGACAGTCGCGAGGCCGAGAGTGTCTGTCCTAAGAGCAATGCGTGGAAATTTCCTGATGAGACGGACGCTCGGTGCTGCCATAACGGGTTAGTGTCTTTACCCTTTCCGCGAAAACCTCCAGCGCGTCTTCTTCGTCTTTACAGAAGCCCTGTCTTCAAGGCGAATATACGAGCATACACAACAATGCCTTTGCTTTTACCTCAATGGGCGCTTCGTCGCCCCCTCCAGGTGAACGATAGGGTAACGAGGACCGGTGTCTTAAACTTTAGGGTGCAAGGATCTGTTTGCCGCCATATGGGATCACTTCTACCTCCTCCCAACAGGCAATCCATGTTTGCTCAAGTTTATATTAACAATCCCGATATGGACGCACGTGTGCGAAGCCGAATGGGAATGATGGATGGTGTAGACCCCTCTATCCTTCGACAGATCGACGAGGATATGGTCGCGCACAACCCGTACACGCAGCAGTTCATCAATGCGCGAAGCCTCTTGATTCGACGCGCTGGACCTGCGGTTCAAGCGGCTGTGAAGGAATTTGGTCGTGTTCTTCAGGCCGGTGAGGTGTCACGTGAAAACGATCCGCTGTTGCGGTTAAATGAATTCATTCCACCTGAGGATGACTACCGACTTCGCCTGCACGTTACTCGCAACGCCAATCCGGGAACGCATACTACACCAACAGCTTCGGAAGTTGCTGCTATAGTAATTGACCAAAATGCAGCTCAACACCGGGTTGTTATCCTTCACGCACGTGGAGGGGGGTCAAGCGCACCTTTGAGACGCACGAGAGCTACGACCTGCTGCAATAACATCTCTTCTTTCCGTACGGCGAACGTGGCTGGTCTTTTTATCTTCCTTATGTTGGGAATCCTGTCGACTCCCACGGAAACCCATTGACAGTATCACTACGCGAATACGAGTCGCATATACTCCACGATGAACCGATAGCGAATCGCTAATCCTAAAAGGAGGACGCTGAACACAGCAGTACTGCGTCGATCAATGGGCCAAATGTGAACAAGAGCGTTTGTGCTACATCGAGAAAAACTAGCTCCAGTGAGTCACTTCAAGGCCTTGCTGATGCGCTGCGCAACGAGTTCGTTGAAGTCCATCGAATGGCGGCTGACGGATTCGCGGAAAGAACCTCTCCGAATAGTGCTCAACCAAACAGCTATGCCAATGGAGACTCCCGGGAACCGGATGCGTCGGAAAATGGATGCAAAATTATTATACCCAAAAAGTTAACTGGTGTGCCGCGCTACATGTATCAGCGCTTTCTGGATGCGATGGCAATTCTGCAAGAAACTGGAGCGCCCAACATGTTCATTACGATGACGTTCAATCCCAACTGGACAGAAATCAAAGCCAATTTGCGACCTGGTGATAAGGCAGCAGATCGACCTGATATCGTGTCACGTGTGCAGAAGTTAAGAGCGCTTAATAAGGACCTCGATCAGGGACTCTTGGGAACGCGAGTACATGTGATCGAGTACCAGAAACGGGGCCTTCCCCCGCCCATATTCTTCTAATTTTGCGACCAGATGATAAACCTGTGAGCGCAGAGGATGTTGACAAGCTGGTGTCGACAGAGCTACCCGACAAGGAAAGTATCCAGAGTTCAATGAAACGGTCATATCCAGTATGCGGCATGGTCCATGCGGTGCGCAGCATCCTCATAGCCCTTGCATGAAGAATGGAAAGTGCTCCAAAAAAGTTTCCTAAGCTTTTGTCAGACGAAACCGTAATGTGCCCGGACAAATATTCTACGTACAGACGCTGTCGGCGCCCCGACGGAATTCTGCACCACAGAGGCAAGGTGTGGAACATCGCGACTATTAATCAGTGGGTCGTAGCGTACAATCCGTTCCTATCGCAGAAGTACAACTGACACATCAGTGTCGAAGTCTGAGTGACGAACAAGGCGGTGAAGTACATCTACAAGTTCGTCTACAAGGGTTCGATATGACGGTCATTACCATCAAGGGAGAGGAGATTCAAGCTAACGAGATTCGACAACATTTCTCCTGTAGAGGCTTGCAATCGACTGATTGAATATCCAACCCGAGGGTGCTCGCACTCCGTCGTCAGCCTACCAATTCATTTAGAGGATATAATTGTGGTCGCATATTGGAACCAAGCGACGACCCCGCAGCTCTAACACTTGACGGGTAGAGGCCACCGGACTATGCTAACCAAGTTTTTCGATTTATGCTCTCGCGATCCAGTTGGAACTGCCAATCTGCTGTATAAGGATGTCCATACGAAGTACAGATGGAAGGACAACGCGTGGCAGCCGTACAAGATACACGTGTCTTCTCTAGGTCGAATAGTCCACGTGTCCCCCAGGGATCCGGACCGTTTCTTCCTGCGACTTCTGTTCTGCCATCGGTACTCACCAAATCGTTCTTGGATCTTTGGACGGTTGGTAGCATCACGAACACAACGTTTCGACAAGCCGCCCAAGCTCTAGGGTATCTGAAAGACGACGAGGAGAGGCTCCAGTGTCTCAAGAAGGCTGCTGTAAACAAGATGTCGTACCAACTGAGACAGCGTTTTGGGATTATATTGGCTTACTTTCTACCCACCAAGGCAAACGATCTCAGGAAGCAGTTCAAGACGCACATGTCGATATTTCGGGCGAGGACACTGATCATCACATCGACCGTGCTGCAGAGATGCGACAGAGAATGGCGGAGTATAAATGCCTGAAGTACTTGGCCGAATACTTGGAATCCAATGGACAAAACCTGGAAAACCACAGTCTTCCCGGTCTAAACACATACAGCGATGTGTCTGGGGAAGTGGAAGGCCCTCAGCCAGCGACGATTGTAGAGCAAGAACTTGGTGCGTACTTGCAAAACGGTCTGGAGAGAGTTGTTGAGCAGGTGGATCGGCTGAACGATTGTCAGCGACGAGTTTTTCACGAGGTCATTTGGGCCGTGAACAACCCAGTTGGAAGCGATAGACTCTTCTTTTTGGGTGGTCCCTGTGGAACAGGGAAATCGTTCCAACTGGAGCAGATACTTGCTCATGTTCGCATACAACGCAAAATTGCAATTGCAGTCGCTTCCAGTGGTATAGCAGCTACTTTGTTGACAGGAGGACACACCGTGCACTCAACGTTTCGTATACCCCTCAAACATACTGAGTTTTCGGCGTGCAGCCTTCCTTGGCAGGGCCAGAAGACAGAGCTGATCTGTAATGCCAGTCTGATCATTTGGGACGAGGCTCCGATGATGAATCGAGCTTGCTTCGAGGCTGTTGACAGATCCTTGAGATATATCATGAAGAATGATGCGGAGCCATTTGGAGGCAAGGTAATGGTTTTTAGAGGCGATCATCGACAAATTTTACCAGTTCTGAAAAATGCTACACGTGCGGAGACAATAAATGCTTGCTCAAGAGCTCACCACTATGGGAGCACTTACGTCAACTCAGGCTAACCAAGAACATGCGCGTTCGGACTGCCCCAAATCCTGTCAGCGCAGCTGAGCTGCCAGAGTTTCGAAGTTCCTGCTTCAAATCGGACAGGGGTGCAACGAGGAGATAGGTGAGAACGATATCTGTCTCCCACGCGATATGTGTGGTTTTTTCCGGAGCGTAGAGATGTCTCGCCGGATATTGACGAAGACAGCAAAGACGATGACGAGGACTTGGAGCCGCCACCGAACTTAACCTTCTACCTCCGTTGGACGAACACACCCACGCGACCTAGATGAAACCGAAGTTGAACGAAGAACCAGGACCGTCAACACGCTGATTGATGCAGTTTATTCGAGTATTGAAGGTGAAGAATTACCCGATGATTATTTCGTGGAGCGGGCAATTTTGGCGCCAACCAACGCAAGTGTTAGGAGGATCAACGATATGGTTCGGAGCACTTTGCCGGTGAGACGAAAAAGTACCTATCGATCGACTCACTCGAAGGAGTAGCGGATGAGGATTTGTTTGAACAGGAGTTCTTAAACTCCTTAAACTTCTCCGGAACACCCCCTCATCGGTTAGTGTTGAAGGCTGAAACTCCAATCATTATGATCCGCAATTTGAACAGCAAAGATGGACTTTGTAACGGGATGCGGCTCAGAGTGGTGTCACTTCGGGAGCGGAGCATTCAAGCGAGGGTTATGACAGGGCCTTCCAGGGGTAAGACTGTGTTCATCCCTCGGATTATTTTTACGACGACAAAGAATTCCCGTTTAGGATGAAGAGAAAGCAGTTTCCAGTGATGCCAGCCTTCGCCATGACAATAAACAAGGCCCAAGGTCAGTCAATCCACCATGTGGGCATATACCTGTTACAGCCTGTTTTCACGCACGAACAGCTCTACGTGGCGCTTTCTCGAGTGATTACAAGGAAGGCGGTCAAGATTGCAATTGACCCCGAATCGATAGATGAAAAAGGGACCGTGTACAGAGAGACTTGTGAGGAAGAGCGAAGTTAGACTAAGCAATACATATCTTAAACATTCTGCAGCGTGTTCCTTTAGATTTATACTCCGCCGTAGCGCAGCGGAGGCGGACCTACAAATTTTAGACGGACGACTCATGTCCAACGCACCCCCGTAGCGGGCTCCCAGAGCGCTATTCATGGATAACCCTAAGCTATAGTAGATACACTTGACTATCAATAGCTTGTGATTGATTTGTAGCCATTTCGCTGCACGCTCTGGCCTAGATTCCGGTGGTCGACTACCACGAAGATCTGAAGGGGCAATACCAGACTGTGAGCCAGCGCTTACGAGCGTCTATGATGGCGAAACAGGAATGAAAACGAGATGGAGACGCTTGAAAAAGTGGGTCGCCTCTCACGCGATATACGCGCGACGTAATCTCGATGTCTCGCTTCCCGTTGGCATCGGCAACACTCTTCTTGACAGACACAAGAGCACGATACAGCGTTCGAGTGGTGCTTTCGTACGCTTGGACACGTGAATCCGCTTGACGCAATGCTCCGCCCCCTATCACGAGCGCTGAAAAAAGCTGAAAAATAAATTCTTTCTTGTCTTCCTCAGAAAACACATTGCAGTTGTCCGAGTCCGGGTTCGCCAACATCTCGGTGAGAAGATCTCCAGCAGTGCAGCCGTCGAAGTCTTCGTCGATGCATCCACGCACACTACCGTCGCGGGCCACTATGCCTGCTGATTCGAGCTTCTCGAAGAATGCCATGCTTGTCACGCTGACGCGCAGCCGCTCAAAGTTCAAAGACGTGATCCCACCGCAGATATCGGACTTGGATCCGTGGTCTTTGGAACGAGGCGCTGCGTTGTTACTGAGATGCTCAGGAAGCTACTAGAGCATAGCTTGTGTAAATAACAGGAGCGAAAGTCTAAACACGAGCAGACGTACCGGTAGAATGCGACGCACTATCTCGTCCTGGAAGAGTTCTCTCAACAATGCTTCGTCCGCTTCGCTAGGTAATCTTCGATGCACGAGGAAGCGCTGCAGTAGTAGCGTATCGCTCAGATTCCACTGAAGTAGCTTTTGTCGAATATCATAGTCTTGTAGAACTGGGAGGGCATTCGGGAGGTGCTCGAATGGGCCTGTTGATGTCTTTACAAGGTCACTAGTGCCTAAATCTGCGTTGCTGTCGCTGGCATCCATCACGTGCACTTGTCTAAAAGATCTGGGTAGTAGTCGATGAGTCGGAGTGACTCTTCCGTACCGACTTAACCCCTTTTGATAATAAACAAGGTGAATGGCGGAAGCCCATGACAAGTTAATTGTTCAGAAATTATCTCCTCTCTTTCACTTCGATCGGGATAAGAGGTCAGCAAATTGGACGCACTACGAACGTGCGTGCTCTCACTTGGCGAATGTCTTGCTTCGCACGGAGAAAACTACTAGTAGCGGGTGTCCATCGAGGTGCACCCGCATCGAGTCATTGTAAAGCGGCACACGGTACTTGACCTCGCCTCCCTCTTCCTGGCGGGCGACGCGTTTCAGCGACAGAGTGCAGTGGCCGTTCACAGACTCGTTCTTCACCCAAACCAGCATGTGTAGCTGCTCAAGCGGCCGCGTATGTTGAATAACCGCGTTGAGCGACAGATTCAGTCCGTTGAAACCTTGACATCGCTCTCCGATGACATCACACTGCTTGGAATCCTCTCCAATTAACGGTGCTACTATGCGTGTCTTCTTCGGAACAACAGTATTGGAATCTCCCCAAACCAGAACCATATTGAAGACCCTTAAAACCGTCGACACAGAACGGTTCTGAGCTTTCATCTGCCGGACAACGCGAGCCTGGTCGAAGTAGCTGCCATTCACCGCACTTGAATACTTTTCTCCATCGCTAATTCCGCTAGCGACGGAATATGACCGCGAATTGCGACGCGATAGCCTTCGTGGAGACCCCGAATTCAATACGTCGCTGTTTTGCTGCGGAAAACTGAGAACAAACGTGCCGTACACAGGACTGTGGTCACTCACGTCCATCCCGTCTCCATGGTTCACGGACCGGTAATTATCAATAAGCCGCTGCTGGGACGTCGGGTCCGGAACCTTTTCCGGAATTAGTTTCGAGTCGCTTACTAGCAGTGAGTGGATCAAGATGCGATCGCACCATCCTGGCACACGCTTCTTCACCTTGCCTCCCTTATAAAACGGTTCCTTGTATAGCACGCGCCAAACAAGAGATGGCCACAATGGCAGCGTCTCATTCACTGGTCCGCGCTTAGGGAACTTTTTGTACGTCGGATAGAAGTCTGGGAACTTGTGAGGCTCCGTGAAACCTTCGAAGACTCCTCCGTTACGACGGTCATTCAACAAACCGTCAAACTTGTCGTGAAGCTCCAGATTTCGACCTTCTTCCAGCATGTGCAGTACCATTTGAGGGTCCAGCAAAATGATGCGGTAGTTCATGTCGCCCATCCACACAACGTGATGGAATTGCTCCGTCAGATCGAAGCTGTAGTGACCCATAACTCGACCTAGACTAGCGTTCAAATTCCGGATCTGCTCTCGACGGTACGTATCGTTTCTTGCATCCAAATGACAGTTTACGAACACAATGGTCGTGTGATTGATCATGAGAGCCACAGCAACGCCACCCTTGGATCCACTCGTAAGTTTAAACTTGTGTGCACCAGCTCGTATCAACTTGACTTTGTCCTGAATATCAGCGCAGTAGAACACAGCCATGCCCGTGAATTTAGTACCAACGAACGCTCCGTCACCACGACCGTGCACTGCATCAATTACAGCATCAGGAGGATAGTTCTTGTGGTTCACCATAAAGTCGCTGTTCCTCATCTCCATGCGATAATAGCGGGCTCCTCGTTCATTGCGGTTAAGATACGCCTCCACGGCGTGATAGACATTCTCCGATACACCTTCCTGCACTCCGAGGACATACAACTGGTAGCCATGCGGGAGGAAGTTCTGCAGCATGGTAGCTGAGCGCTGTTCGTCAATGATACCTTTGCCGTCATCGAACGGGTCTGCGGCGCCCATGTTCCACGTGCCCACCCACATTCGTACATCGCGTATACTCGCTCGCTTCGTTGTCTTCAAGGCTGGTGATGCTGTTGGTCCAATAGACAAACTCCCTGTGCGCAGCCCTGCCTCAAAGTATGAGCGTGGTGAAGTGATGCGAGTCTCGGGATCGTCATCAATGCTCAAATCGGCAGACGACGAGCTCTGCTGCGCCACGACAGAGGAGGACTTCCGCGCGTTCTTGAGTGCGAAATGCTGCGACCTCATGCTGGCAAGATCCTCTTCGATCTCGGAGCGCTGGAACGAGTCGCTCTTGCGCGAGGTCTCATGCGTGCTTGGCGTCGGTGCAACAGTTGGGGCTGCTGTTCCGATCTTGTTCCCACCGTTAGCGATGGTGGATGCTGCAACGGTAGCAGAGGGTAACGTGCGCAATTTCTCAAGCATAAGCTCAGGCTGCTCCAGATCGGCCAGGTTGTTGCAGCTAAAACTACTCTTGACGTTGTTCGTGCCATTCCAGTAGCCCGAGCGCAGCTTCACGGCTGCCTCAGTGGCGCTCGCAGCCGACGCCAGGCGTCTTATACGTGTGCGATGAGATGCAGCGGCCGCTTCCGCCACGGTCAGGCCTGTAAATCCAAACCCGTTCGCACAGCTTCTCGACTTGTTTAGACTCCCTCGTGGCTGCTTGCCACCCATTGATACACTAGCCGTCTCGGACTCAGCCATTCTCAATGCGTGCATCTCTCCACCTGCAAAGGACTTCGGCGGTTCCTTGCCGTTCTTCAACCTGAAGTTCTCGAGCTCGAGCTCCTGAACTCGTCTGCTCAACCTCGCCGCTGTTTCTGCCCACTCGCTCGATTCGCGTCGAGGCTCGACTCCTGTCGCTGTGTCGGCGCTTGCGTTGCGGCGCAGCGCCACCGCGACGTCCTCTGTGCGTCCTATACTAACTTTGCGCCGTCGTTCTGGTGTTTCGTCCTTGCCAGCACTAGTGTTGCGTGGAGGGAGTCCAAGACGCCCCCACGCTTTCGATTGTGGGCTATTCGTGACGCTGCTGCCGTCGCTGCTCCCTGTGGTCTGTTTCCTGAGCACAGGAGAGGAATGGGGCAATGAAGCCGGAGATGTGGGCGGTACGGGCGGTGTCTGTATCGCTGCGGCATCGGTGGACCCACGAGAGCGCGCAGGCGACACAAGTCTCCGCACATCGAGCGTCTTTTTGGATGTGGGTGCTAGTATCTCCTGTAAATCCTGTAGCGTAGCCGGCTCCTCGATCTGCGAGAATGCGCGGGTCACACGGATCCTGGGATCTCTAGCTGCTGCTGCTGCGGCCGAAGAGGTGACGTCCGACCGACGGGCGGCCATGTTGTTCTGGCTGTCGAGGCTGTTGAAGGAATTGTTTTCGTCGGCCATGCAGCGGCGGTACTGGACGTTTAGGAGGACGCGGCTCTCCCGGAAGTTCTTAGTTTAAGGTCAAGCTGAACCCACCTGGACGGATTAGAGCTTTTCTACGCTTGTGAATTTTTATACTTTTTTCAACATGCGATTGTGTGGCGTGCCTGGTGATGAATGTGAAAGAGAAATACTGGGAACGGCGACCCGATCGTGACGGCATCACCAAACTCGAATTTAATTAACCTACACTAATAGTACTGACTAACAAACTAAAGCGTGCTTACTGTTAATCACTGCCTCCATTTCGCTGATCAGTTCGCGCTTACTTTAGATCGATCTATGCCCAACATTGGCAATAGGAGAAGGTGCTAGCTGGTGACGAATGTACATTTACTTTATAGTAATTGTAATAAAAATCCACAATATCCGCCAATCAAACACTGTGGACAGCTTAAAAAACAGCAATTGACTGTGAAAAGCAGTACTCATGGAGAGCGGGCGGCTTGACGCGTTGGTGCTCAAGTTGCGCCACCCTTTGACCAAGATCCGGTCCCGGGCGCTGCGCACTTTGCTCTTCAAACTGCGAGAGCGTCTGGTGCGCTGGCAGGAGCTGGAGTCCCTACAGAGTTCGCTGATTCCAGGACTCATCTCTTGTCTGGAACCACCTTCGGAGCTCGAGGCGCTGCATGTGCTGGAGCTTCTCGTACAGAGCCACTCGGAGGTGTTTCTGGCCAGTCTGCAGCACTTCGGTGCGGCCCAGAAATTTCAGCGAGCAGCCCATACCAGCCCAGAACTGCAAGCCAGTTACGAGAAGGTCAGCAATTAGAACTTGGAGGTTGGGTAGAACGCTTCTAATTATGTGGCGTTTTGCGTAGCTCTTGAGACAGATTTACGCCACTAAGTTCGTACCGATAGAGGACGAGAACAGAGAACAGGTCAGCAGGTTAGAGGAGGAGGAGGAGGCAGATGTGGAGCAATATAGGGCAAGTAAGGTGCAGCTAGAGCGACGACGCGCTCCTAGTGTCGAAGTTCTGGAGGCTGGCGGATGGAAGTTTGCTCAGGTAACACTGACGTCGGTGGATGACCAGTATTTGTTCGAGTTCGAGGTGAAGCTGCAGCTGCGGACCGAAACGCGTGACATTGTGGCAGCATGTGCGACGTTTAGAAACGAATTGCTGAGGAATTTCCCCGCAGAAGTTTTCTTGCAGAGACCGACGGTGCTGCAATACTTATTGCATCTAGTGCAGCAACCAATTTTGCCTGGAAGTCCTGGAACAACGAGTCGAGAGAGTGGAGATGGCGACGTTTTGATGGAGAAAGCGATGGAGGTGTCCTTGGGCGTGAACTACTTTGATGAAATACTGAGTGAGACGTTTTCAAACAAGCGTGGGAATTTATGTGGAGCGGTGGCGATGGCGAGTCTCAAAGCGATCGAGTCTTTTCTGTATGCGTTGAAACTTTCGCGGAGTACGTGTCTTGATCCGACGTACGTGGTACACGCACCTAATGTGCATGTGGAGTTGTTCGATTCGTATGACACACGGCGGGTACTATATCCGCGTGTGAATGTGGAAGTCGGGGATGGTGTGGGTAGAACACCTAGACAAAGGGGTGATAGTACTGATTGGCTGGAGCAGTATTCAATGAGTGGAGCCATCTACAGGATATTCATAAGCGTCTTACCCTTAATGCGCTCCGCTAGACACCCGCGATTGCACTTATTGAACCTCCTTATTTCGGCGCTTCCTGATTTACCTGAGAGAAGTTGTGGAGATGTTGAGGACACAAGCGTTCAGGAGCTGGATAAATTGCGGCTTGAGCGCATCCTCGGCATCCTCAGTGGAATCTGCAGACCTGTACCACGAGAGCAAGCAGGAAACACTATGGTTGACAATGAGCTAGAACTCACCCACTCAATGACATGGAAACTGGTGGAACTTGTCCTTCGGCTGCTTCGACTGTATCCGTCATCTCATTATCATGTGGAGGAAGTTTCGAACGCAGCGGAAAGGAATGGGAGTTGCGCGAAGACTGGAATTATTGTCCCTAGATTGTTGTGGGAAGCGGTGAAATTATGGACTGCTAATCCAGTATTCCCTAACGTAGCAGCTCACGAGTGGAAGGATGAATCGCTCATACAGGACTTGTCCGGAATTGACTCCTCGATCCCTGCCTTCATGAAGCTAAAGCAGTCTTCGCAACAAGATGCGAAGCTAATTCTCGAGTTCGTGGATTTTGCAAAGGCCCACCGTGAAAAATTAACAGATTTTGGTCCATTAGGAGCACCAGCCATTTTGAATCTGGAAGTGTCGCTGAAAACGATTCAGGCCAGGTTTGCATTTGATGACGTGGACACCGAGATCATTGCAGACGCCACGCTCCAGGCAATCTGGTTAGCTTTGGCTTCTTATGCCGAGAATGACATAACAAGGCCAACAGAAAACGATATCGATGGCATTCAGTTCATTTTGTGTGATCTGCTGAGTGGTTTTGGTGAGAAGAAGGCGCCTACGTCGCATGACCCGATGGTATGTTACTTTTTCCGAGGTCTTATGGTTCTTATTAACAACCTCAGCAAGGAGTCTAAGCGCGTATCTACCGATTTCCGGCATCGATTCTTTACCGACGTGTTGTGCGATCCCAAGTTCCTTGTGTTGTTGCTGCTTACGTTGGCAAGACAAGATACTGGCAGTCAAGCGAACAATGCGGCATTCTGGGCTATTTTACGTGCAGCTTTGAATCATCTAGCCGATGTTTCTAGCGACAAACTGGTGCTTCTCCAGCCCGTGATCCCATTGCTCCAGCACTTTGCATACATTGAACTGTCAGAAGGTTCTTCTCCAGAGCAAAGGTCAACGCAGCCGCAGCTAGCTGAAGTGTTGAATCGAGTGGAAACGATCGTACCCGACCACACCAGATATCTTTTAATGTGCCGGTGCTTGCTACACGAATCGTCCTACATTCGCAAAGCAGCAGCCTCTGGGATTCTTCGGTTGCTGTCTCAAGTATATCCGTCTTGTGTTGACTGGATTTCGAAGCACAAAGAAATACTAGACGACCCATTTGGAGGTACATTTGACTATAGTGGCAAGAATGTGGATCTCGAAGCAACACTCATGGAGACGCCCTTGCCTGCTAGTCATGCAAGTGAGTATCAACCAAGCGAGAGCGAACTATCGTCACGTTTGAGTAAGTTATCTCATTTGTATAAAGTAATTTCCGGGTCATCTTGTGGTTTTGAGAGCATGAAAGAGGCAGCACTCACAGAGTTGGTCATGTTCATCGAACACGCATCAGTGGAGATGTTCACACTATTTGAAGAACTGGACAAATTTTCGGATATTATGGATGTGCTTCGTGCAATTTTCGAGACGAAGGCTGGCAGAGATGACTCGACGATGATTCTACAAGCGCTTATTTTGTTTAGAACTCTGTTACTCCGTAGCAGACTGTTGCGCTTCGCTATGCGGCATGATAGTGGCATGATGAAACTTCTTATGCCGTTGGTTTATCACCCGTCACCGTCGATTCGAGCGCAGATGTACTACATTATTCTTCTGCTGACATGCTCGGCTGAAAATTTTATTCCCAAGGGAGCACCAATAGAATTTTTGAACAACGGCAAACCTACGGCCAATGAAGATGCGAGAGTTCCCGAGATGATCAAGTCGACGTTTGGACTGTATGCCAGTCGTTGGACGCGATGCTTTATCGTTACGTGTTCGCTGGAACAGCAGCTGCAAGCAAGTTCTGAACTTTTGGCTAAGCAAACGGACTCGTCGTGGTTGCAAGAAGTGAAAAAGTCCATCGTTACTCAGGCCTCATTAACTTCTGACGGTGACAAAGAGGAAAGTGGCGGTGAGATCGACTTGCTGCTAGGTGCGGAGTATACACTGATCGCCCAGAAGCTTCGAGATGCGCCGTCACACGGAAAGTGCTTGAATGCTGCTTACCATGTAATGACAATATGTGTTGCTTGGCGCTGTGCACGTGAGCGATTTGTTGAAGAATGGGAAGCAGATTTTGAACGGTATTTCGCTGTACCACCGAAAACTGAACGAGACGAAGTCATCGTCGGTGCGCTTGTAAACACTCTCAGTGTGATGTTCTGTGGCATGACCAGAGCAGAGCAGCTGCGAGCGCTCGTTGTGGTGAAGCGCAAAGTTTTGTCGCTGCTGAAGAGATCACAAAGCAAGGCTTTCTCTCTTCAAGTTGCGCGGTTGTTGCTCAACGTGAGTGAGTCCAAGGTCAGCGATTTATTCTTGTCGCTGGCGGCTGATACCGACATTATCTCGACGATCTGCGCCAAGTACACAGCCATCTACGCGACAGAACCTGTTCTTCACAGTATGATGCTGGAGATTCTGCTACGCTTTGCCCGAGGTATGAACGAGAATGCAGGCGTTCGCTTGTCAGAACCCTCACGCGGAAAAATCTGCAAGCGTCTTCTGGAGATGCTGTCACCGTTGCTTACGGTCGTATGCCGTCACCGTATTCCAGGCTCCTTTATGGAACGGGACGTATTTGCTGTTGGATCTCAATGCATGGTAGCCATTCTGCAGACACTACCACACGAGTCTCTGTTGGCCAGTGATAGTCCACTGGAGCATACTGACAGCAGCATTCTGCTCGACAGTAGCTGGGCGTCGCGCTTTCTCTTCGATCACGTGGCTCCGATCCGCGAGCTTGGCTTTCGTGTTATTGAACATACTGCAGCTTCGCGCCCCTCGTCATCACGATTGTTGGAGATGGCGCTTGAAACATCCACAGATGACGACGAGTGTGATGCTGTCCGTGCGGCAGCCTGCACTGCATTGACTGCAGAGCTTCTTCGATACCATGATCGTTCCCCAGATCGACAAGCTGCGCTGGTTAAGATGTGTCATGGGGCCGCATTTGCAGGAAAAGTGCTGCGCTCCCTTTCTGAAGCCTTAAAAGGCAGTAAATTACTCGCTCGTACAGCTAGTGCGTTTGCACGACTGGTTCGAGTGTTGTGCATTCAAAGGAATGATTTGGCGTCGCATTTTGGAGATATGCAGAAAGAGTTGGAGGCCGCTGAAGAGGAATCTGACATCTACCCGCTCCTGATTCAGGTAAGCTCGCGCAAGGACTTAATGCTATTGTCTTCTAGCACCCTAATGTATTGTTTCTTGTGTAGATGCTTTCACTCCGAGAATGGAAGGACAAGGCTAATCGCTTCAGTTCGTGTTGTATGCTCTTACCATCCTGTGATGACAACGCCTGGAGACGCTCGCTGCTTCCAGCCATCTTAGATCTGATGGCTGAAGTGCTGAATCTTCTCCAGGCTATTTGCCGTGATGGTGGATTCGATCAAGTGGCTTTCTTCCTCATGGTATTTGCTCTACACTATCTGCTGCTTGATCTTGCCCGCGACTGACGTTATTGTTTTGTGTAGCACACAACTTTGCAGTATCAGCTGATGGAACTTGTTCGGGATGTCCACGCTTCGTTGGGCGTTACAGTCTCGCCAGCTACAAGACGTAGACATTATGACGTTCTCGACCTCTCCGCTGGCACACTCAGCATCCTGTTGGTGCAAGCTTTTGACCAGCGCAACGAATACGATGTAAAACAATTCGGAGCACCACAAACACCAGGCTTTGGAGTGGATTTTGTGGATACAGTGGCAAAACTGCTAGCACCTCAGCAACCAGTCGATTTTCGCGTATCATTCTCTCGAATTGTTCCCGCGGTATGTACCATCACGCTTACGAATGATGTTTACAATCTGCCGTACTGACTGACACCTTCTATGACCATTTTTTTTTTGATTAGATGTCCTTACTGATCCCTGGGTCGTTAAAATCACCCGATGTTTCAGTCACTAGCGCCCTGTGTTCTGTCGTGTTCGACCTTTATCAAGAGGTTGCAGAGTTCAGGCCACTAGATGCGAGCACTGCCACATCTGATCTGCAAGGTCGTGTGTTTCCATTGGCATCGGTTCGACGCGTTTCATGTGCACTCCAAGTACTACTCGAGACAAGTCCCCATCTCCAACCACTCGTTCAAGTCAAGCGTGGTGTGCCTTTTGCAATGGCTTCCATCAAAGAATCATTCACTGCGATTCGCATAGCTGGTGGATTTGGCGGCAAGCGAGCTAGGAGTTCGAACTCCAGCTCAAATACTCATGATATCTATGTGCTAGACCTCTGCGGCCGCATCCAGACACATATGGAAGTCGTAAGTTCCATCATCGGTAACGACAAGGAAAGCCAGCAAGTGGCAAAGGTACGCGGACACGATCCAGTTTGTATCATTCTCAACCTAACTATGATTCCTTCATGTCCTTAGGATGAAGGCCTCCTTAGTGTAGTTCTGTCGAATTGGAACGTGATGAAGACGGCTCATGTGCGTGGATCTCAGTTGATGCTACGAGCACTTCAGCTTCTGGCAAACTACATCTACGGAAATGACAGTGCTCGAAGCTCGATGCTTATCTCGCTGTCTGGGAGAGGGGATAATGCCCAAACGCTGTTGTCGTTGCTGTTCGATCTGGCCAGCACCCGAGGTGGCGTGACGTCGACCCATAACCGAGGCACGAACTGTGCTACCGAAGCAGATATGGCCTTGAGCAACGCTGCATGCCAGGTGCTGAAGGCGGCTCTGATCAACCCAGAATGCGTCCAAGGTTCTGTGAAGTCTGGGTCGATTTCCAGACTGGTTGATGCGCTTCAAGATCGACTGAAGCAGGCCAGACAAACAAGTAAAACGAATCACACGGAGAACGAGAACGTTGCCCACATGCTGAGTGTCCTCAGTAGCATCGCTAGCACCGAGGAAGGTGCTCGGGTGCTTTACACCAGCTTGTCTACTGTGCTTTCTCTCGTGTTGGACGATGTGATGCATCTGACCAATAAGGGAATCCAACGCTACGGGTGCTTGTTCTTGAGGAATCTGTCCCTCTCACAAGCGACCAAGAACAACTTCGCCGTTTGGGAGGAGCTTCTGGATGAACTGGTTGCGTTCTGTGTACGCGTAAGTGACTCAACACAAGAGGACGTGATCTCTCTGGAGTGCATGTCAGTGGCTCTCTGGTCGCTTGTGTACGACAACCAGAAAGCGCGTGCATTACTGCTGTCAAAACCGACGACGTTACGAGGCTTGAAGCAAGTGCTAGACTCGCAGAATTCTGGTGCGTTATTAGTTGAAAATGTGCTCGTGTTGACCAAATACTCACCGCTTGTCTCCTGCTGGGATCAGTTGAAGGTTCGTCGACGGACATTGCCGAGAATCTCCGGCGCGTGCTAATGCTCGTCCACGAGTAGACTTCACTCCACAAGATGTTGTATTTATTTCTTACCGATGTTATTGGCATCACGGGTCGGTTGGATACAAAAACTGGAGGCTTCAGGTTGGCAGCCTCCTAATAAATAAACGCACTCCTCTTGCGTCATGACGACGAGTCCTAACAGAAGTCACGCTCAGAGTATATCGAAATCCTCGTCTTCTTCACTGCTGTGATAGTCTTCTTCGTCTTCTTCGGAACTGCCGTCCTTCTCTAAACGAACGTGCGTTGTTCCTCCCGGACTCACGACTCCTTTTAATGAATGTGAGCCCACATCTTCCACAAGCATCACGGCCTTCTTCTGTTCAGCACACCACAAACAACCACTGAAGTTAATGAGATGCCCATAAACACACACTGGTCTCCACAACGAACCTTGGCAGATAGGGTCTTTACTGGAGTGACCGTAGAAGTCACGCGGCGCACCTTGCCTCGAATCATTACTCCACCACCTGCAACATGCTGGCGATTGATGCCCAGCACGTAAGAATCGATATCGTCCCGCCGACGAGAGCTCAGTTTCTTGAGTAGCCCTGGCGCCTCATCGTCGATGTCAGAGTCATCGTCGGCGAGGCTACGTGATGGTGTATCTAGATCCGGTGACTTGATCGCGTCAAACTCGGGTAGCTCCGGCAAACCCTCTTTGGACGGGGTCGTATCGAATAGGTCGTCGACATGTTTCTTCTCGTACTGTAGACGTCACAACACAACTCCGTCAGTCGCAATAAAACACCCGTTTCTTTACAATTAAGCTTACCTCTTCCACGAACTCGCGTACTTGCTTCTTAAATTTGTTTGAGCCTGCGCGCGCGATCTTGGTTGGTATAGTGGAGGCGGTGTCTGTATTTGCTCGCTTGAGTGGTTTCTTCGCTGGTTTCCGCTTTGTAGGCGGAGATCTAAACTGCTCGAACGTTTTCGCTTGACAATCTTGTGCCGACTTTCCGGGAACGTATTGAGCCACCTGCAGCAGAAGTTCATCAGTGACAACCTTATCACTAGCAGAAATCACAATAGCTGATCCAGTACCTGCGCCCAGAAGTTCGAAGCAGTTGTTGGTATCTGCAGTTTGGCATCTGTTAATGCTTCCAACTGCTCTTTCGTCCAAGCATCCGGCTCTGTTTCAGGTTCAGGTTGATTCGTCTTGGCATTTTTCTTTTTCTCCTTCGCTGGAGGATGAGCCTGTCATAAAAACACATCATTAACACTTGCTAATCAAAGTATTCTACCACTCCTACAACGCACCTTTTTGGGTTTTGGTGTCTCGTACAGGTCATCGATTTCACTTGGAAGAGATGCGACGGGTTCTTCAATAGTGAGATCTGCGTCTTCACTAATCGACAGCATTGGTGAACTGAGCTCAATCAAAATTCACGCACACACTGTCAGCAAGACACGCCTCGCATTGCTCAACACTTTCCATCTTTTTGTACCTGAGCTTGTCTGCAGCTCTCGCTTTCTTCTCCGGCAATTTTCGCACAGTTACCGACTTGCGTTTATCTGTTTTCTGCAACTTCTGCACGAATGGAAGCAATCGCTTGTAAAAGAACGCCGGAATGCCGTCCTCCATCAGTCTCATTGCCGCGCGTGGAATGCCTGCGCTCCTAGCAGCGTCCCGGTCTAGTTTCCCACTCAACGCCACGTACGTGCCGTCCTTGGCCGTGAACTTCGAAGCAGATTCACGTTTGCCCACGACAAATAGCGCCGACTCTTTCTCTACCTGCCCCATCACGATCACCTCCATCCTCTCGCTATCAGGCTCCAGCATCGGTGGCCACATAACCCGCCAGTTCTTCAGCACGACCGCCTTCCTGCTCACCTTCCGTCCCTCCTTCTCGTTACTCGCCTTACTTTCAACCTTCTGTTTCGTCTGCTTTTCTTTTTTCGCTTTCTTTTGTGGCTGAGGCGAGAACAATAATTTCTTCTGGATAACGACATCCCCATCTTCCGGTTCCTGCTCGACGTCCTCAATCATCTCCAAGCTGCTCCTTTTCGCTTTCTTCATGGCCATAGATCTCGTTACAGGCGTGTGTCCTGCTATTTCCAGTACGCCTGCGTGACGTCGCTTAAGCCGCTTTTTGAGTTTGGAAGCGCTCCTAGTCACAGCGGGAGATGCAGCCTTTTCATCGCTCTTCCTCGTCTCTTCTCGTCGCTTTTTGTTCTTTTTCTGTGACTTAAGCAGCTTCAGACACGCGAATGGATCCTCTTCTTCCTCTGCTGCGGCCTGTGAGCGTTGCTCGGGGGCGCTGAAGGACTGTGCGAGTCCTCGGATGGGGCTGTGGCTGTCGTCATAGCGCCGTTTCTTGCGAGGTTTGCGTGTGGACCGCACCACGGCATCTTCGCGGCCTAGACCCACCAGTGCACTCTCCAATACAGAGCTGTAGCGGCTGCGACTGCGCGTGTGCAGCGGCGCCGACGCGCTCCGACCCATCGACGACATACGCGCCAAAATTCAAATGCTAAAGTGAAACTTGAAATTTCTCATTTAAAGTTGAAGTGGCCCACACAACTGAAAAAGACAGTGTGACGCTGACACTTTCTTGTCCAGCATGACGGCACGACGGCGGAACTCGCTGCTCCGCTGTCTGGTATTGCTGCTGCTTGGACGGGAGACGCGGGCCGCTAGTGCGCATTACTCCCTTGACTTAACGGGTATCGCGTCGGGCACAGGTGCGGCAGTTGTTGACCATGTGACGTAAAGGAGTCTCACCAACAATTTTTTTATGATTGTTGTTGTCGATGTTGCAGCGTACACGCTCACAGTGGACATTGGCACGGTGGATGGATCTTCAAGCGGAAATGTGCGCAGTGCGGCTATTTAAATGGTTGATTGATAGTGCAGATGAGTGACCCGTTCCTATGTGTAGAACGCCTTCCGGCTGATTGCAGACACAGGCTCGTCGAACGACGCGGTGCTTGGCGCTGGATGCTGCGGCTCGGATGCAAAGGTGACCTATTCGTGCGATGCGTCATCGACATGCACCAATGCTGGTGGCGACGTTGTCACGCTAGCGTTCGCTGGAGCCAATATTCAGTACGAAACAGGAGTTTGGTAGAATGGGAAAGAATGCTGTTTCTGACAGTGTTGTTGTTACATGATAGGGGTCAGTTTATGACGGATACGTGGTCGTCGGATGAGATTGGTGATATCTCCAAGACATTCTTGGTCATTGAAGAGCAGGATACCTTTTACCGCTCAACGTATGATGGTATTACTGGCTTGGCGTATGAAGCGCTCGCGGCGTCTACGGGTGATACTGTGTCGTCGTTGTATAACGTACTGGTGGATACGGCAAAATCAACCGACGCTTTCGGTATGCTGCTGTGTGGCACAATGCAACCCATGCTGCAGACGGGAGGGACCGATTTTACCTACCATTCCGGTCAGTTGTTGATTGGCGGTACGGAAGGCGTCGATGGCGAGACGTACTATTCTGGTGATATGTTATATACTCCGATTACAAGGGTACGCTTGTTTGGAATGGAGTGGGCGTTGGTTTGAGCTGTACAAGCTGACAAATTATTGGTGTATTCGTTGTCATCACATTCAGGAAGCGTGGTATGTTGTGACAGTGACGGACATTGGCTACAACGGTGCTAGCCTTGGACTTTCATGCGATAGCTACAACGAACCGCAGGCGATCATTGACTCCGGCACGAGCAACTTGGCGTTTCCATCGGATGTCTACAATGCCCTCATGGATCAAATCAGAGCAGCTACGCTAGAAGCCATCCCAGACTTTGACACCAGTTACTTTGAAGACTCAGCTTCATGCTGTGATGAGGATTATTGCGATCCTACGTCGTCCAGTGCTGCACTGTTGGAACTGCCCTCGATATACTTCACACTTGGAATGGAGGCTACTGATGGCTCAACAAGTAAGCACTTTACTATTGAAATCCCGCCTGAATACTACTGGAGGCCTGAAATGAATGGGGACAATTCCAGTATGGCCTGTCGCGCCATTGGCATTTCTGAAGGCACCTCAACTGTCCTCGGCGACGTATTCATGGACGGCTTGTACTCGTACCACGATCGCGTGGAAGGAAAGATTGGCCTCGCCGTAGCCAATAACTGTCCGAACAACGTCACGTCCAGCAAAAAAGTATATACAGCTGAAGACTCCGTTGACTGGTGTTCGTGCTTTTCAAGTACTATGAAGAAGAAGAGTTCGTGGACAACATTCCTTCCGTGGGGTAGCGGGTGCTTCTTCTGGCTCTGGTGGATGTATGTGGTCATTGCCAGCTTTCTGGTGGTGATCGCCTGTGTCTGCGTATTACTTTGGTGGCACATGACCAATAAGCGTATGAAGAAGTTACAAGAAGAGGCGTGCAGATCGAACACTTCAGGTCGCCGTACTACACGCTTAGCGACGATGCAGTCAAGTGGGTCCGGGAGGGGACCAACGCTGGCCCCTGGGTCCCCGCCAAATGACTACTATGCGGCACCAGTTCCAACTCCCCAGAGAAGATCTACCCGTTCTGGACGGTCTGGTTCAAGGCGTGGGTCTATGAAGTCCCCACGTTCTCAAGACAGGAGATCGAAACGAAAGGAGAAAGAAGTGCCGATCATGGCAGAACCCAAGTATTCCACCATGAGTTCACCGCGATCACCGTTGTCTGATACTTCTAGCATTGCGCTCCTGTCGGAACCAAATTCATCTATTGGATCAATGGAAAACTGGAAACACAAGGCGAAGCCGTATACGCCCGGTAGCCACCATTCAAACTACAAGTCGAACTACAACGATCGATGGGGTGCGTCTTTGAAAGAAAGCGAATTTTGAACGACGCCATAGCAGCGTAGAGTACTCGAAGTATTTGTCGATAAATTGTATGAAAAAATGTACTTCGAAGTATCTAGTAATTCGTTTCAGCCTTGAACGACATGAGTGAGAAGCTTGTAACCTATCTGAGCTGGGCGCTGTCTTTACTGTAGGGGGTGCGCTGAGCAGCAGCACTTTATGTGCGACTTGTGAATGCCCCCTATTGCATTTTCGGTGAACCTATGAGCAATTTGAGATTTGCCGTGGGTCTCGTAAGAAACGACGTGCTTCTAACACCGCTAATTTAGCGTAAAGGAAGTTGCCGACCCACCGAGATGCGACGTGTGGAGCAGACACATTACCACACGACCAGGAGATCCATACCATTGCTCTTCAACACGTATTTGTTGGGCCTGCATGTACCTAACACAGTGCAGCTATTACAATTGGCAATAAATACGTGAGGTAAATATACAACAAGGCAGCAATATGCAATCACCGCGCAACTTGCGCCGCATGTGGAGCCGTAAAGAGAGGGATGCAGGTCAACGGATTTGACAGCGCCTCGTTTTAACGTAAATATCCGATTTCACAAACCCTTTATATCATGATATTTGTTTAAAAGTACGACCATCATACAAAGCTTCAAGAATTGCTCCGTACACACCTGTATATTTTAAACCTTATCATCCTTTCCACTTACCACACTGTAGGGTTTTATTTTGCATCACGGATTGCGGTCCATACAAATTTCCTTATGTTCGTCACGCTATCAACTATCACAGATTCAGTACTGGTGCTCGACTTCATTCCCCATCGCGCGTTTAATCTCGCCTGCGCCGTCCTTCCCTCTCGCGGTGTGGCGAACGTCCGACGTCGCGCACACAACACACAACACCTCTCACTCCTTAACACCCGCAGCAGCCAACGCCATGGCGGACGCGCGCGCGGCCCGCGGCGACTCGGCGTGCTCGGACGACTCGGCCTTCGGGGACGAGACTCTCAGTCAGGACGAGTTCGTGCAGCGCCAGATGGACAAAATGCGCAGTCTGGACGAGGCCGAGAACATGTCGTTCCTCGAGTCGGCGCCGTCGCATCGCAGCAGCAACCACAGTGGCACCAGTGAGTTGTCTGCTAATATGACAGTCTACGAGAAGCTGCAGGCATTGGCTCTAGCTGAAAATATCAAGTTAGACGACCCGAACGGCGGTTCAGGCGTAAAAAGCAAAGACGGAGACGATGAAGACGACGACGACGACGACGACGACGACGATGACGATACGTACGAGATATCATGGGACGGAGGTCCTCTCGGACTATTGTTCAAGGCCAACGCTAACGGACAGCCTGTGATCCGCCGTGTCAATAAGAAGGGAGCAGCTACAGGCCTACAATACGCACGAGCGGGAGACGTGCTGCTTGCACTGAATGGTGTTAGCGTTTCTGCTACGCCATTTAGCGAGGTGATTGAGAGACTGAAAAACCCGGAGTTCCCAATTAAACTGGACTTTCGACCGCTAAAACTGAGTGATCTGGCATCTGCAGCTTCTGCGGCCACGTCCAAGTGGGGACTGCCTCGCACGGGCTCCTCGATCCATAGTAGCGATGCTACGTCGGCGTTCTGTGGGTCACCAGTATCGTCTAATGCAACGGTGGATATGCGGAGCAACCGAGGAGCAGGATGGGGAGAGTCATCCCCGACGTATATGCCACAGATGAATGAAGCGTCCACAGAAGACCCGACAGATGTTGAGTACGATGTCGTGTGGAGTGAAGGGCCATTGGGTTGCGAGTTAAAGCAGCGGAATGGACTTCCTGCAGTGAAGTCGGTAACCGGTACAGGTGTCACGCCCTCGGTGGCGCAGATCGCGGCGGGAGATATTCTCGTTAGTATTAATGGCTTGCGCACGGAGGAGATTGGATTTAAGAGCACGGTTACATTGATGATGCGAGCTACCAAGCCCGTGTACTTACGATTCCACCGAGGTGGGGCACGACAGCCGCCTTCTAGCTTTAACGATCTCCCGCCGAGTTACAGGGGGCCTCCAAGTAACAGGGAGACCTTCCAGGATGCACCAGGAGTGGATGCTGCGCCGCTGGATCCAAAGCAGTACACGGTGCTATGGCGTGAAGGTCCGTTGGGTATTCAAATTCGTACGTCCAGCAAAGGCCGTGTCGTTGTGGCACGACTTACAGGTGCAGGTGCTCCGAATGTTAACGAGTCAGTGAAACCAGGCGACATTTTTGTGCGAGTGGCAGGTGTGGATGTTGATTCCCTGGGTATTGCTGGCGCCTTTGAACTGCTGAAAACAGTCCAAAAGCCTGTTGTGCTCGTCTTTCAGCGACGGGGGCGCGGTCACAGTCGCGCACATTCACGTGGTAGGCATCCAGGCCTGCCTGTACCAGCACCTGCACCGGCACCTTTGCCGTCGTCGTCAGCAGTTCCTTCTTTCCGGCAATTACGTGAAGAAGAAGCAGCCGCTGCTGCAGCAGCAGGGATCGCACGAACACACAGCGCCGGATACACCCCAGCGCGACCGAGAACTCAAAGCCGTGGGGGTTCTTTGAAGCACTTTGGTGGCGGATATCAAGATCTAGAGAACTACGCAGCGTCGGATGACGGTACTAGCTTGCACAGTTACGACTACCAAGCAGACTCCCCACGCTCGAGTGCATCTCGCAATAATTCCGGCCAGCTTTTGAATGTTGACGGTAGTATGTCTGAGAATGATCTACCCAGCTACTCAGACCTACCACCTCCACCGCCATTCCCGAGTACGGAGACGAATACTACGGCTGATAATGGCGACGATGACTATCCAGAGGAAGATAGTTTCCCGCCAGAGGCCCGAGACGAGAGCCCGTCGCTCACAGGACTGCCGCCACCTCCATCTTACATGGACGTATTTACGGCTTCTGGAAGAGCAAAGGATCCCATCACGGTAGTGCCTCCTTCTGCTCGCAGTATGGATCTCCACAACATTCCCGATGATGAATCAGCAGGTGATGAATATTTCGGTGACCAGCTAGAACGCCCGCCGCCGTTCGAAGCCCACAGCAACGATGGGCCTCTACCTCCTCCGCCCATGTATCCTGATGCGCCTTTGCCTCCGGCAGAGGAGACCCCGTCATTGCTTGGCCAACCCAGTCGACTGCAGGAGCTTCGACGTCAGTACATTGAATCGGAGCGTCAACGAAATTTGCTGCAGAATGGGAGCGCTACGATGGTGAGTACTTACTCGGATATCGACGATTCGGGTCTGGTAGTGCGTCACCAACGACACCCTTCAGGCGGCTCAGTGCCAGGCAGTGCACCGTCACCTCAGCTGCCACTACCGGAACTTTGGGTGCGCTGGAGTGACGGTCCACTTGGCATCACATTTAAGCGCAAAAACGGCCAGATTGTGGTGTCACGACTAACCGGCTCGGGGTATTCGCCGGGTCTGACACAACTTCGACCGGGTGACTGGCTGGTGTCATTCAACAACCAATCCACCCGCAATTTACGGCTCGGTGAAACGATGGAACTACTGAAGCGTTCGCCAAAGCCTGTGGACATGTGCTTTATCGTTCAATAAGGGTGCAGGATGTACAATCGCCAGTCACTCGGGAATAGACCGGAGTGTTAATAGTGAATAGCAACCCCGTACCTGACGCCACGTAGAGAACATGAAGCGGAGAGTAAAGGGCTGTTGGCGACAATACCTGGAGAAGTTGGCGAGTCGCGATGCGCCTAAATAACCAAGTGAAGTGGCAACGACTGTGATTTGGTATTCCACTATGCGCTCTACCCTAACAGAGCGCGAAGCCCACACCCAAAAACTTTGGCATGGGAGATACCATGCCTCGCAAAATATTTTTTCCCCCTATGCATTCAGATACCGCAGCACCAGCGCTGCTAGTGTTGTGTAGCGTCACCGGACTGTGCACGCTTTCGAGCTCGAATAGCAGCCATCAAGTCGAGAGGTTTACTGGGTTGTGATGTCTCTGTTGGCGACTCATTCTTGGCGATGCTGTCCCTTGTGCTGAAGCGTTTACTGTTTTGCTTTCGTCGAGCTTTGATAGCATCAAAGAGAAGAGCACTGGTGGGGAGAGCTGCGGATCGATTTACTAATGTCTGCGGTGAAAGAAGCTGTTTGTCGTTTGATGTATGGACGACTGTCCTCTTCGCCCAAGGCACTCGATTCACACCATTCATAGAGCTAATATCATCACCCAGCGCTGCTGAATTCTTCTCGTGTACATCGTCGATCAGCTCCTGTACAGGCTTGAATGCTGCTGCTGCGGTGATAGAAATATTTTCACGGATCATGCCTTTATCGTCGAAAAGTAAAGCCTTAACGTCGGCCAGTATCCCCTGTAAGAAGATAATTGCTTGACACGCCTCACGAACCTCGAATGGTGAACGCGTATCTTCTTCATCTTTGGCGGGGTCACGTTTTCCCATAATGCAGATTCCCGCACGTTTCGAGAGTAACAGCGTCAGCTCACGCGTACTGTTCAACAATGAGTTACACTGGCTCTGCTGCTCAATATCGTCACCTCCCGAGGTTGGGAAGGAGATATCTAGAGCTCGTATTTGTTCCAGAATCGAGTCCATTTCTTCCAAAGCACCCAACGCTTGTGCAACCTCGCGCATGTTCATGTTGTAGTGTGCTTTCAGGTCTCTTTGGCGTTGGTTAGCTACCATTTCTCGAACGTGGGCTTGCGCCTCCAGCAAGGCTTTCTCACCAGCATTTTCAGGATCGCTTTTCAAGATCTCCTCCTTTATAAACTCAGGCTCCGGTATGAACCCCAGACCATAATATAGCTTTCGCACCCTCTCCTCCGTGCGTACTGGACACGCCAAGCCCACAAGGTCGCAATTGTGCTGGGAACCGATAACTAAATTATCAATCTCATACCCAGTTTCAGACGATCTGCAGTGGTTCGTGAGGTTTCTAGCAGCAGTGATGAAGGCTTCTTTAAGCTTGCAGTACCAAGCGTATTTCTTCTGTGCCATTTCATCTTTCTGTTGTTTCTTCCACTCTTTGAAAGGTTCTTTCAACACTCCATGAAGAGCGCGGCGCTCAAGTAATGTAAGCCCTGTAGTGCGGTATCCTTCGATAACACTCGGATGCATCTTCACGATAGTCTTTGGATCGGTTCGCAGTAGTTGCAGCACATTCGTGCGCTTCAGTCGCCTTGCAAGCTCAGCAGGAAATTTCGCTCCTGTCGGCGTGGCGATCTCTATCAATTCTCTCTCAGACAATCGTGAGATGTCCACTGGAATCGCAGACCGTAACAAGCGTAAGGCTTCGGCGTTCGCTTCTCTATTCGCGTCTTCCCATTCTTGCTCTAGAAGCCGTTGCTCTTCAATGTACTCGTCCGTCATGACAAGAGCCATGTGATACTTCTCCATTTCCTGCTCAAGAATGTAGTATTCCTTACGCGCTGCAGCTTGCGCTTGTTTGTCTTCCATAACCACCTCGGACGAGCCGATTTCCTGAAGTCTCCTCGAGATCTCTGCCACTTTTTTCTTCGCCACTTCGTATGGAATAACCTCCGCCACGGAGATCCCAGCTTGTTTAAGCTGTCGCTCCAGCACTTTGAGCTTCTTCTTTAGTGCCTCACTCTCATCATCTTCGTTAGCGTACAACTCGGTCTGTCTCAACTTACTCAGACAGATCGAGTCGCGATTGTGCGCAGCTTGTCTGGCGTTCACTTCTTGCATGCGAAGTTTTTCTTGCAGTATTTTTATTGTAGCTCGAGCTTCTCGAAGTTGAGTCTGTTGCTCCGTGGAAAGAAGATCTTGCTGGCTTTCTTGAGTAGCGATTTGTGCCTCCAATGCTTGAATGCGTTGTTGACTTGCTTCGACCTCCTTCTCGAGCTGCTTCGCTTTGAGAACAGCCTCAAGCTCATCTTCCATATTACGGGATCCAGAAAAACTACCCGACGAGAAGTTCTCATAAGCCATATCGCTGCTGAACGACACGTCTGACAGCGTGTTGACCGTATTCCGCGACGAAGAACGGTCTGATGTATTCTCCGATGGCGAAAGCGAAGGTGATACTTGGAATGGCATCGCGTTAGAGACTGATAGTTCAGGTGGATCCGGATTCGAGGCAGCAAGTGAACCACCACGTGATGCCGACTCCCGATGGTCAGCACTACTATCATTTGCAAGCTCATAACTGTCTGCTTCATCATCGTGACTCTGTAAATTGCTTTCCTCCAGTTTCTTCCTGTATGCTACGAAGCAACAGGAGCAAATGCGGAGCTTATTCTCCATTACCGGTAAATTCACTTCTCGGTGCACGGAACACCGACTGCAGATTACTTCACCGCACATCCGACATGAATGACGCTTTCGAAGAACGTTGAACTCTCTCATACAGACATAGCATGCCTTCCGAGCGCTAAACAGGGATGTCAATACACATACGAGTAAGTTTATAACACATACACCAGCTTTACATGGAAAAAGAAGCCTACCTTCGTGGGATCCATTGGCCTCGAGAGACGAAATAATGATGATCCAGCAGTAAACCAGATGCCAATCTAGAAGCACACACAGTTGACGCAGTGATTGCACTGACTGCTTGGGCTCCGTCATCGCTATCAGACTCCAAGCTGGCACTGCCACGAGTCATTGACGCGGATACTAAACGGGTTTTGTCGGCTTCGCGTTGGTTGGATTCATCCTCGCTGTTGTTGATGCTGCTGTCACTGCCACTTTCGCTGCTGTTGGAACCTATTTTCCTTTGTCTTCGTCTCATTCTTTTGGCTCTTTTCTTCGTGGAACCACCCCTGCCATTGTCTTGTGGAGATTTTGTCGTTTTTGTGCCTCCATCCACGTTCAGCATGCTATCATCGAATAGTACCACGGGTAGAGGCTTATCACGCTGCACAGTCGGATAGAACGTACTTCTTCTAGGCACGTGTGTCTGACGCATCGAACCGGTGCCCGTCAGTAACTCACTGCCATTCCTGCCATCCTGCTTGCTGCTTGCTGTAGCAGCTAGAGCCTTCGCATTACTCGATGGCGACAGCAACACAGTATTCGCTCTAGCCAACGTCGCTCTCTTCGCGTGGCTAATCCCTCCAGGCGCAAGTGCCAACGTCGGCTTCCTCTTCTCTACAAAAGCTGCATCGTCTGGATACAGCTGGATGGTCTTCCTTTCGCCTTTACTGCTCTCTCGACTCAATAGCGCTGGCCGCCTGTCCCATGATTTCTTGGGAGGATCCGATAATAACGTGATCGACGAAAGCACATCGTCGTCCAGTCCGTCCAATAACGACGGATCGGAGCTCATGAGCTGCACGAGCGCCTTCTGCTTCGTCGGAGAGCTCAGCACTCGGTCCATCGCTCTCTGTTCTACCTCTTTAAGGAGCGAGTGTTGTTCTTCAGCCTTTTGTTTCAATCTACTCTTTGCGGTTGCTTCACTTGATAGAAATTCGTAACTGCTAGAGCCGGGAGGGCGGGCGAACGTGCGCAGGCTGCAGCGACATACAGCGGGGCTCGTTCGGTTCTTTTTCGGTCTCTAGTCGCTGACTCTCCGCGGCTTCAACTGGCACTGATGCATGAGCTTATGCGTCCATGAAGCGCTTCCACGTCCAGTGCGCCCACGGGCTCCTTTATTAACGCGCAACACACGCCACATGGCGCCAAGGTTGTCTGACGCCCATTTCGATGAAACTTCCCTGGAAACCGTCGACAGAATGCACGTTGAAGTGGTGTGGGTCACACCAAATTGAAGTGGCAGATTGTAACCCTTTTTTATTAATACCACGGTAACTACGACAGTTCAAACAAGCTTGATAGAGCGCGCTTACGATTGACGGACCCATCCGCATGTACAGGTCATTCTGTCCGAAAGTTAGGAGCAATTCAGGCTTTGCAGTGTTGCGATCTCGAACTTATACAAGCATTTGACTCATAGAGTGAAAAGGCGAGGTGATAATTGCCATAGGATGCACAATGCTGAACGGCGAACTTACCAGCCGAGAGTTCAGAAACCCATCTCGGAGAGTACCGATGCAATAGATCGTATGTATTGTAAAGACGCAGTCACTTAATGACTACATATCCGTGTACAATAATGTACCATAATCAGCGTCAATAATCATCGTTTGGGCGATACATACACGCTTACTACAACCGCCACACCACAACAAATCAAACTGAAGTAACGTTATACGAGAAGTTCTACAAAGTAATTGCCTAGGATCTGCTGGGTCACGACTCACGATATGTTGACCGTCACAATGTCCGATTCTTCTTTGTAAGTCTCGCTCTTCATTCGCGAATTTGCCTCACAGCAGCCACCGACAGCCAAGTAAGATGGTCGCTACAACCACCGCTCTCGTTTTCGCTGCTGTTGCCACGCTAGCAACCTCGGGCGTCGACGCTCACGGCACGCTGGTCAAGCCTGGGCTCAAGTTCACGGGGGAAGGCTACGGTGGCAACTTCGCCGCGTTGGTGCCCATGACAGCGCTAACACCCCAGCAGGGCGACATCTTCACCAACTATCCTGATGCAGGACTGAATGCTGCGGCATTTGGTCGTGCCTTCAAGGCATCCAAGTACAAGTCACTCAAGGAATTTCTGCTGACCAACCAGGATATGAGCAAGGGCCGCAATACCATGCCCAAGACCCCCGAGTGCGGTTTCACGGATCCCACCGGTGGCCCTGTTCAACCGCTGCCTGACCAGTGCGAATGGTATGGCGGCAAGATGAACCACCCCGGGCCATGTGAGATATGGTGCGACGACGAGATTGTCTTGCCATTTACTGTCAACTGCGCCGACACGTATCCGGATGGTAAATTCCCGTACAAGAAGGCCATGTGTGAAGGCAAAAAGCGCCTTACGATGTACTGGATGTCAACGCTACTCGAGTGGCAAGTATACATCGATTGCGCCAAGATCGGTGAAGGTGGTCCGCCGGCTTCTGCAAGCACGACGACCACGAGTAAGGGTGCCACCCCGGCGACCCCATCAGGTGATTCGTCGGGTGCAGCGTCAAATTCAACACAAGGTGGGGCGCCAATGCAGCAAAACTACAATGCAGATAACATTGGAGGTGAGGCGAGCTTGACGACCAAGCCACAGTGCAAGCGCAAATTGCGTCTTGATGATGAATAAGGGGTTCTTTGGTACTTCAAAGGAACCAAAGTTTGTAGCGTTGGTGAAGCAGCTGCACCGAAATATATGTGCGCCAGACTAC